CTGCACCTTAGTACCAGCCTTTCCCGGTCCACTGTTAGTCTATCTGCTTGCGTGAATTGTACTAACAGCTTGACATACCATTTATTTTTGATCATTTAAATTTTTGATGCTCTAGCCAATTTTATGCTCAAAATCCTTCCTCAGTATAAATAGGAATTTAGTCCAGCATTCAACATTCTGTCAAGTGATCATCTCATCACGGTAATGCGGTAATACCTCACTCGATTAGTAACTTGAGACGATGGTGGTCCGAGCAGCTTATGTGCTAGTTTAACGACGTACGTTGTTGCGCTCGGGCGGGCCTCTCTGCCTCTAACTGCCCTAGACCCGTCGCTTTGGCCTCGCCGTCCTATACCCCCAGCGATTTGGACCGGTTTGTGGCAGCGGGCGGGGCGGGCCGGGGCGGTTTTTACCTACGCTGATCAATTAGTGCTATTTACTTAAATTAGTATATCAATTTTGATTGTATATCAGCAGACAACGTTCTTCCGTTCAATTAATTCGACAACGAAGAAGTATTTCTGGCATAGCAACAAGCCGAAACTGGATTACTAATTTGAAGTAAACCTAAAGCACTAAATAGGACGTCAGCGTAGTAACGCCGCCGCCGCGCCGCGCCACTAAGCCCGGGTTAAAAACCGGGTGTTGTGTGTGCCAGACGCGTAGGCGATGGCGCAGTTTACGCCACGTCACAAATAACGGCGGGAGGCGCGAGCCGCGCGGAGTTGGAGAAGGTATCTCGGCGGTAGAACACGAAGCAGCCAACAATGACGAGCGGCTCTAGCGGTGTGGGCGCTGTGTGCTGCCCAAGCAGTCTTGTAAGTGATATTACAACTAGTGGGTGGGGAAACAGGATTGGTAGCCACTCTGGCATGGAGAGTTAGAGTCCGTGCGAAAAACTAACGTTACAATCTAAATCCGATGAATTAGGAGAAACCGCAGTTGCGCACCAGGACGGGATGGTGAAAAACAGTCTAATATGAGGGACAGCTCTCCTGGAGTGATCTTTGACAGACACGCGTGTCCATGCGGGCGACCGGGAGTGTGATGCAGGCAGCGACCGGGCTTTAGTGCGTAAGCATGCTCGCGGGCTTGAAAGGAATCGTAAGTTAACGGAGCTGCGACGAGTGACGGCATTGCTGCTTTGTAGCATCCTAGTATAATTGTAATATTAACGTGCAGATTTGTTGATTATTGAACTTGCATGGCTGGGGTGGTGGAATCACGGCGTATTTCGTGTGTGACTCATGGTGTCATTGGTGAGAGTCGCGAGTCGACCTCTCTCGAAATATGGTTTTACCGACTAACTTTCGTGTGAGTGGAGCGAAGGGAAGAGAGATTGTGCCTTGTGTGATACACGCCGTGCAGCCGTTGGTCGGGAATCGGCGGCACCGCTCGCCTCCAGCAGCCGGTGGACACTTTTCCATCCATCGGCACTTCAAGGGGTACATTCGTATCCGTTGCACGGAATTTATTAAGAGGCCGTTGCGCACTGAGCAATTCTGTTAAATGAAATTTGATTGTATACATGTCTATTATAATTGAATACTTTTAATTGCACAATTAAGAGTTCCCCGGATTAGTTCTAGAGGGCAGCGTGCAATGTCCCCCTGAAGCCCTATTCCGAGATGTACCGCCTTTTATAGTATTTTATTTGTCGTGAGAGTACCGATTTCCGGCCGGTACGTCCACTTACTATAGTCCATTAACACCTATATTTTATATTTTACGTATATAGCTATATATATATAGTAAAGTTGATTTATAATAATTAGAAAATAGAAATCGTCGAAGCACATGAAGCGTGGATACTCTACAGACCGGAATGACTGATCCCGACTGATTGCAACAAACACCTATCACGTCGAAAGTTTATGTGCTCAGAAGTTTCTTATTGTGCGATGGACACCTATAATGATGTAATAATTATCCAACAACAACATTTGGAAAGTCCGGCGAAATACACTTGAAAATCTCTCACCTTCGTCATCCATTGGGCGGCATATGCCCTGCTTTGACAGCACGCCCAGGCGCATGAACTGCAGCGACATGTAAGGGTGCAGCACGAGATTCGTGCCTCCCACCAGGGCGCACTCCACCTTCCCAGACCGAACGGCCTCCTTCAGGGCGAACATGGAGGAGCTGCAAGCCGTATCGACGGCGAAGCTAGGGCCTGCAAGGAGATCATCACAGCACTTTCAGCTAGGAATGCTACCTTTCAGAGACCCCCCCCCCTTAGTATTAAGAAGTAGCCCGCACTTTTCTCGCGTTTAGTAAAAATTACTTAATATTATAAAACTTCACTTTATGAAAATCACATCACAGTGATCATTTGTAATACTGTTAATCATTTGTAACAAATAGTAGAACATAGGTGCGAAAACAAATACATTTAAAGTTAATATTTATACGCATTCGAGAGTGCAAAACACATTTCATACATCTTTCGACAGTGAGAAAAAATTCCCAGAATTTTCAGCTGCCGTGTCGAGGCGCCGTGATTCCATTGAATTTCAATTAGATATATCTGGAAGTCGTGCAAATGAAACGATAGAAATTCGAATTTGCAATTATGAATTTTTCAAAATTTACTTTAAAGTACTAATGTTTTAAAAATATTATACACGATCTTTTTTTTAGAACACATTTTATTTTATCAAACAAATCTCTATCTTCAATATTGTTCTTTTGCAATGTTATTTTTTTATTTGTAATATTTGAAAACATAGAGGTCATAGAAAATATGATAGACCCTTTATATATTACTTTATCTATTATCTTTACCTATTACCCTAATCACAGCCTACAAAAACCCGCAATCCCTTTCCCATTTCTGATCTTAACGTCTTACTCAATCTTCCTTATCCTTGCATTCTTGCTGGGGACCTTAATAGGAAATCAAGGTCGTGGGGTAGCAGGACTGACTTTATTGTCAACCATCCCACGATCCAACTCAACAGACCCCCGAAACCCACCCACTTATACAATGACACAACATACTCGACCTAATCCTTCTCTTCTCCAACATCCAGCATTTCACACTTTATTCCAAATACGACTTCTTCCACTCCTTAAACTACCTTCCCATTGTCTTCTATTCCACTTCCCATACACCATACGTAGCACCTAAACTAGTCCATCACCAACACTCCAAAAAACCGAACTCCTACCCAAATCCAATACCCAAAACACATATATAAATCGGCCCACCACATCAAACAGTCCTACAAGAACCACCACCACCAAACAGCCCCCAATTTAATCCTCCCAGACGAAATAATCTTAACTATAAGAAACAAACGACAACTACAAAGACTTTACTATAAATACAGAAAAGACTGAACTAAAACGGACAAATCGACGACAACATTCTCTACTAAAACACTACGAGACATAAATATGTCGTTGATTAACATCAAGTTTATCTCGAACTGTATTCATAATGTCAGGAAATCTGTGCGCTAAATTTCCTACCATCACGTTTACACTTCTAATTTCACCCTTACCTTCGATCCTCAACATATAAATAACTCCCAATCTTTGGCCGCTCGCTTCAATCCCGTCAACCTCCCTCTTCCTTGCTAGATTATCCTCAACTACATAAAAACGCCCTCATTTCCCTCTATTCGCCAACAGACTTGGAGCACCACGGAGCCAAGAACCGACAAATAACGACAATTTACGGCAATAAAGCACCCGGACACGATGGAGTTCTTCCTTTAAGCTCAAGCCCCTAAAAAATACCAGATGCCTTCTGACCCTACTTTTCAACTCGCAATCTCTCGCCCGCATCCCCATGATTCCCAAACCTGGCAAGGACCACCGGGTCCCTTCCAACTTCCGCCCCATCAGTCTCCTCCGCGTGCTCGGCAAAATCCTAGCAAAAATCATCCTTCGATCATTGACGTAAAACATGACACGAACACAATTACATCTCACAATAATTACTGTCCTGTGACGTATACTAATCTGACGAAACGATCAATGCCAATTCTCACCATGCTCCATCCTTTCCTATACCTCAACCTATCCTGAACTTTTCGTAAATAACCTGACCCATTCCTCCCTCCTCGAATATATAGTGACAAAATCATTATATATAAAAAAAAAATATTCCCCAATCCCTTGTAATCAACCAGTACAAAACTTAAGAACATCCCAGATCCTACTCAAATGGCTGAAGAGCCCCAACCGGCACAGGAATTATAAAAACTAACAATTATAAAAACATCAGAAGCAAGGGTTGTGAGTGTCGAAGAGACCGTCATTGTGACAGTTACGCCAACAGCGCTTAATTATTTGCGTTGGATATTGTGAGTATTGCTATGAACTGGTACGTCTTCTGGTGAAATACAGCTGTGGATTTCGGATGTATTTCTTGTTTACGCGGAAAGAGATTTTTAATTGTAACTCCTATTAAGCAGAATTAACTGTTTATGTTGAAACCTCTTTGTTCATACTTATAGGTTTCAACATTGTATTAATATTCCTCATTGTTGTGTTTGTAAATTGTAGTGTTTTGCCACTACGTTGCGGAAATGATAAATATCTAGTACATCTATGTAATAATAGTTGTGTAGCTTTGGGAATATATTCTTCAAAATCGCAGGACTTCAAGTCAGAACAGATTGGGCGTGGAATATGCTGCGCGAAGAGTGTCTTTGCAAGCACCTGAGACGGAATTTCTGAAACTCACCTTTGACTCCCAGCCAATAGGAGATGCGATTGGCAAGCATAGCACGGCAGCAGCCGGTTATCCCAAATCCCGAGAGCTGGAGCTTCTCGTAGAACCACGTCTTCTCCGACTCGGAGAAGCACACGCCCACATACACGCCCATTTTCTTTCCTCGCAGGGATCTTGGGTTCACTCCTGTATGAAGGAAATCTCATTTTTAGGTGTCATGATCCAAGGATAAATAGTTGTATAACAAGCCATAAATACGAAATAGATTGTAAAAATTACAGTCATTTAGAAATTATCAATACTATTTGTTTAGATATGAGATATAAAAAATGATAATTACTAAGTTCTGTGGCGCGAAGTAAAGCAACACTATTTAAGCATTGTTCTTACTTTTGAATTGGAACATTGAGAGAAGGTAAGATTCTTTCTTTCAGAGAAGGTACTAGTTTGTGGAAATTTTCAGTTGCAAACCTTGAGCAGTATATTGTCAGTAGTATAAATTGGAGAATAGAAACGGTATTAGACCAACTGAAACATATTTTTGTTCGTAATGTTGGAAATTCTTAAAACTGAGTTGTTGCCAAAAAATTGTGAAAAATGTTTACGCTTCAGATATACCAAACATTCTGTATGAATTTATTAATATTTAAAAATATAATGACGGGATATTCGATTAACTAATACTTTACAAACGTCTGTGTATTGTGATAAGTCGACACTGGGACAGATAAAAATTGTCAAAATAATGTGTAGTAAAACGTTTGCATGGGGAATCCAATGTAGTCATATGGCGATTTCGTGAATAATAAGAATTTAAAGGAAGAGTAATGTAATCAATGAACTCGGAGAATAGTGTAATTTATTGTGAATATAGACTTGCAATGGACATGTGACAAAATTTCCGTGGGAATTAGATAATTATACAAAAGGATGAAATAAATGATTAGTGAATGAATAAACAGTATAAGAGGCTGAGACATAAATAGCCAATAAAAAAGGAGGAGGCGAACGAAGGAGGAATGGAAATGTGGACAGCACTGCGAGGTAAACAAAGAAACAGGGTGAATGAAAAGATTAGTCTATGAATAAACAGTATAAGATGCTTAGACATGAATAGCCAATCAAAAACGATAAGACGTGAGAGGGAGGAAGAGAACGAAGGAGGAACGGAAATGTCCACAGTACTGTGTACCTTGGAGGTAAACAAATAAACAGCGCGATTTATGAACAAGATGGCAGAAGGTATTCCGACTCGGTGATGATCGGATGGTAGAGGTTAGTTAGCCGTGTTAATCGTAAAAATGTTTTATGTCGGATAAGTGAAAAATCTTGTGAGGGCAAGATTTTTCAATTATCCGAGAAGTGAAAAGAGGGAAAGAGAATAAAGGGCCTCACCAGCGTCGACGATGGCCTCGTAAGCTCGTTCCAGCAGCAGGCGACATTGCGGATCCATGGTGTGCGCCTGCTTGAAGTGGAAGCTGAAGAAACTGGCGTCGAACTTCTCCAGCCCGTTGATCTTCCCGCTGCGCGGCGGAATCTCGGGGTGGTCTGCAACCGACAGCAACGCAACGTTGCAGGAGGTCACCACTCAGCAGCCTCCATCGCCCCAGGCTGCTCTCAGACTCAGTCCTGGCTAGACCCCGCCTTATTGACGCCCTGACTCCAACGGTCCACTCCCACACTCGTGCAAACTCCCGCCACTGCTCCAATCTCCTCCAATCCTCCGGTTCAGTTCCGCCCTTTTTCCCGCACCGCCTCCAAAACCACTCCATCCATGCATCCACTACATCTACCCCGGCCTCTCTGTCCCTGCTTGGGGCTCATCGGCACCTCCGTATACCGTACAGAGTCCACTCTCACTCTGCCTTTCCAGTCCACCCTGTTCCGCCTGCGCTGCGCAGAGAGCCCAGAGCGCGCTCACCGATGCTCCAGCGGCGGTCGTCGGCCGTGAGGAGGTCTTCGCCGCGCAGCAGCGCTTCCCGCAGCGCCTGCACGTCGTCGCATTCTGGGAAGCGGCCCGCAATCCCCGAGATCACCACCTGCGTGTGAGTGCTAGTGTCTTTTTACAAGGCAAACATATAGGCCGGGTACCACGAGAATGAAAATAAAAGATAGTTTGGCCGAAGGAAATATTACCAGAGGACATATTTATACCATATTGTGAATAGAAGATGCCATATATGTATAGCAATTAAATCACGGCGCTCGTAATATAGTAAAACAACCGCAGGTGGGATTGAAATAACAATAGGGACATATTGGACAAATGGGTGTGTACAGTGGGAATCTGGAAGAAGAATTGATGTTTCATCGTCGGAGTTTAAGTATGCCTTTTTCTTTCCACTTTCCTAGCTGATCACGAATATTCAACTTAGCACTCATGAATTGTTATTAATATATGAGTTGTGTTATGTGTACAATTACTGACATGTATTTGACACTTTATGTTTTGAAGTATTGTAACAAATGAAAAGGTGTGAATTTATATTCAATTGGCTTGAAATTGTCATAAATAAAAAAATACAATAGATAATATGATAAATGCAATACACACAATATGATTTAATAGAATGATTTATTGTTTTAATGTCAAAACCTCAGTTTGTGGGAGTTGCTCTGGCAGCTTCCCACCACAATATTGTCGGTAATTGTACAAAAACGTCTGAAGCAGAAAAGATTTTAGTGGGCATTTGAACACGCGCATCGAATTTAATAGTTTAATGTGATCTAGCAATGCTTTATAAAACATCCTTGTACTAGTTGTGAATTTGGTATAGTGAGCTGTTGGCATCAGAGGGCGACAGTGGCTGTTCATACAGACGTTTGGCAGTCATTCGATTCAGGGACGCACAAAACATGGATTGTGGGTACACAACCAATGTGATGAAGGGTTTTTTTTCTAAATTTAGCAACTGTGTTTATTCACATTTTCTTACCAGGGCCATGAAATAAGAGTTTTTCCGCCGCAATTCCATTGTTTTTCGCGCAGAATTACATAGTTTTCTCTCTACTCCGTAGCGGGAAAGTAAACATTTAGAGCAGTTGTTGAGAAAAAATTTAAAATATCCCTTGGGCTTCACTTAAAGTAACCCCAAATTTTAAAGAATGTTTTTCGCATGCCTCGATCGACCAGTAGAATATTAATTTTGGAAAAAATCTATGTAAGGTTTAGGCGCAGGTGGTGTTCATAGACAGGTGAACATTTAAAAAAATTTCGGTAAAATTTCTAAATATGTTTTTGAAGCATTACTTAACTTTCACTATACTATGCATATTACTTGATATGTACGTATGTATATGAGAAACTAAAAACGTACCTCGTCATCCGCTATAGTAGGCAAGCAACGCCCCAACTTCTCGTCCACCTGTTGCGTCTGCTGTTGCTGCGTCGATCGCTGCTCCGGTCTCGTTCGGATTGGAGCCATGTTTGATGAAATGTAAAGTGAATGGATTTCTGAAAAAGCACTTCCGCTTGTGTAGAATTAAATGTTTAATGTTGCTGCAGATGACCTATGAAAGAAGGAGTTTAATAATTAAATGTCCTTTAAAATGTCAATTGGTATCAATCAATTGTAATTTGAAACTGCGAAGTGAAACGAATCCCTCATATTTGTCGCCAAGAGCACAGGAGACTAGAGGGAATCGGATATACTACGAAATTTCTGCGCATGCCCGACCCACTTGCTCTAGAGAACCGTGTAAGGAGAAGAGACTGCTCGCTGACATTCCGCGCGACAGTGTCTATCTTCTACACTATCGATTTCTGAATTGTATTGTATTTGAACCATCACACATGACGAGAGACTGTAAAATATAAAAATTGCAAAAGGTATGAACATACCAAAACCCACTGTGCCTATCCATTTCATTGTGTTAAATGCGTCAAAGAACATGCACCTGATAAATGAGAAAAAAGGAGAGAAATTCTGGCAACATGTGCTCTGTGTGAAAGCAATCACCTGGCAAACTATAAAGTACGTCGAGTTTACCAGGAAATTCTAAAAAGGAACGGCCACAATAACTTAAATAAAGAGAGAAGAATCTTCCAAAATGAAATTGTGATGCAATAGGAAACCCATAACAATTTAACAATTAATCTTCAAATTCACAACAGAAACTCCCAAGAAAAAATAGAAGAACGCACATTGTTCAACCAAAGCACGCAGAACATCAACCACATTAAGATGACAGCCACTCAACTCTTAACATCATCCAACACTTCTTTGAACGATTTGAAAATGTTCTGGTGCAGCAAAGTCAACAGATAAATCCACTTCTTAACTTTGTATCGATATCGGTAACTAAATTATCTAGTGTATAACTTTTTTCGAATAGCAACCTGAAATGCCAACGGTCTAGCTAAACATTGCCAAGAAGTTCAAACATTTCTCTCAAAAAATAAAAATGATATACTCTTGATCTTGGAAACTCACTTCACAGAGAAGAACTATTTGAAATTTCAAAACTATTCACTGTATGACACAGAGAATCTGGATGGCAAAGCGGACGGAGGTACGGCAATATTGATTTAACGGAAAATCATACATCATGAAGAATGTGCATTTCATGGCAGAGATATTCAAGCAACTACAATAGCAATAGAAGACTATCAAGGACCACTCGCAGTAAGTGCTATATATTGTCTTCTGAGATTTAATATAAGTAAAGCTAGATTTGAAATGTTTTTCATTAGCCTTGCCACTTGTATGCAGAGGAGATTTAAATGCCAAACACGGGCAGCGATGGCATCGTTGCAAATACTAATCATCTCTACGTGAGAACCAACTTACTGGCCAACTGATAAAAACAAAATATATCTAATTGACATGTTTGTAACTAAAGGAATTTCTCCAGGTTACTTGTCTACTGAAGCTTCCCATGAACTGTCATCAGATCACTCGCCCATCATAATAACTGTTAGCAATAAAATTCTTCTGAGCCCTGCACCATCAGTACTAGTAAATAAACATAGTCTGGAATATGTACCAAACTGGATATCCATCTTTATAAGTATCCGAATGTTCTTGCGATCACAAGATGACATCGATAAAGCTACTGAGATTATAACTTAAGGCATACAAAAAGCAGCGTGGCTCGCCACTCCACGAAGATAGTTTAATAGAACTTGTAATAATTATCTTTTTTTACTTTCTGAAAAAAAATCAGGAAAAAAGATAACTTAAAAAAATATGGCACAGTACAAAGTACCCATCTGATAGAACCAGCCACAATAAAGCTATCAGGCAACTATCCAGTCTACTTAAAACATTCAACGGTAGTAAGTATCAAAAGAATGGTACCCATCTCTCTGCAACTAAAGCCTCCGAATATTCTTTATTTAAAGAAGCAAGAAAATCCTTACGACTTAGTAAATCTTCACCCCCAATTCGTAAGGAAACCAAAGAATGGGCGAAATACAAGAATACTTAGAATCACCTTCACAAATGGCCTTACCAATAAAATATTTTGCCTACGAAGAAGTATTAATAATGTTAAAAAAGGAATTGCCTAGCAAGGAGGTTCCCGCTTATGACTTCATTACTACTAACAGAACTGCCTCGTAAAGGAACAGAATTTATCACTGGTCTCTTCAATAGTATCCTCCGGCCGGCCATTATCTAGCGCAATGGAAAGTACCACTGATTAAAGTCTTTTTAACGCAAGGTAAACCTCCCCATGAACCCTTATCGTATATACCCATACGTATTCTTCCAATTCTGTCCAAAGTGTTCGAAAAACTTCTCCTAAGCAGACTGCGATCTTGCGACCAGACAACAAATAGCCTAATCCCAATCATCATTTTGGCTTCAGGCAACAACAGTACACTATTGAACTAGTTAATAGAATTATTAACTTCATAGAGAAAATATTCCAAGAAAAACAATACTGCTTAGCAGCGTTTTTAGACTTTACTCATTCTTTCCATAGTGTGACAGGATGGCCGTCTGTACAAAATCAAACGATCCCTAACGTATCCATACCTCAATATCTTCAGATCTTACCTCTCCCACAGAACATTCCAAATAAAGTATCAAAACGAATTATCCAATTTCTTTCCAATCAAATCCGGAGTATTCCAAGGCATTGAGCTCGTTCCAGTCTTATACCTAACCTACAGTAAGATATACCGACAGTGAAAAACTAAAATAGCTGCAGAAGATACTGCCTTGTTAGCCACAGATGACACAAATGAAGCGTCAACAAAACTACAAAAGCATTTAGGGTTGATCGAAGAATGGGCAGACAAGTGGGAAATAAAAATTACGAAAACAATTCAACATATATTACTTTCACTTTGAGAAGACACAGATGTCCCAACGTAAATATTAATGATAAACCATTTTTGCAGGTCAAAAGTGTGAAGTATTTAAGAATATATCTGAACAAAAGGCTGACCTGGAAATCCCACACACTAGACACGAAGAAGCAACTTCAACTGCAAGTGAAAATACTGTATTGGCTACTAGGATACCATTCAAAGCTATCGTTAGATAATAAATTATTGATTTACAAAACAATAATTCCTATTTGGACCTATGGCAACTCAATCTTCGGCACGGCAAGCAGGTCTAATCTGCAATCTCTCTATTTTACAGAGATTTCAATAAAAACGCTTAGGATGACTGCTGCAGCACCATGATAAATCTCAACCTCAACACTACACAGAGGCTTTAAAAGTACCGACAGACTTTAAAATAATTGAAACAAGCAGCTTAAGCTACCTTCAACGTCTGGAAACTCACCCAAATCCTCTAGCCATCAACATCTCAAT